GTAAATAACTTGAATATTGTATCACCCAAAATCATGTATTGATGTTAGCATCTCTAATAGAATTAAAATTCACAATGCAGGTTTTGTTTTGTCGGTTACAGTGCCTTCTTTTATAATTGCGTCTGGTTACCATACATTTAATTTCTTCAAAATATTTTCTTCTAACTTTGTTATCTTAAAAGGCTTTTGGCTTCTATTCTGTAGAGTGATAACTAATTTCGTGGCTCATGTTTTCTTTCCATAGTAATGACTTCTTCTCGCTCTTTCTCAATGAGACAACATCATATTCATCTGGGCAATTCTAAAGGTAACCACTTAAATTTCTAATATTTGCTGCTTGGCTTTTTTATCGTATGAGAATTACATTTTCCCCTTAACCACTTTGTTATGGTGGCCTATTTTTTCTTCATAATATTTCTTAGGCAAAGAGAATACTTGAAAGTTGCAGAGCTAAGAAAGATGTTTCTTTTTATTGAAAAGGTAAGTCATCAACAAAGTAATTAATCCCTCTTTTTCTACATAATTTTTAAGGCTAACTCGATTATGCTTGTAATCTAATTATGCACAAGTTAGCAAGGAAAATCATATTTTAGAGACATGATGTGGTTGGGAAAGTTTAATTTACGACTCTTATTTTATTCTTGGTGGCGAGCCTCAGCTTTTGGGGAGGGCTTCTAGTATTGGAGCATTTGTAAAACGCGGGAGGAGTCAAGGTACATCAAGATTTCCTTGAGAGGTGAAACCAAGGAGGAACATTTAAGTATCACGCGGAAAACAGATACACGGAACAAATTTGAGTGGATTTTTAATGGTAAAGAATTCTTTATCTATAATGAGTGCTTCAATTAGAAAGTTGTTTAACTTGATATTTTTGTGATGATGGGCCACTCGAATGGTACAACTCTTTCTGATTTGCTTTACTCTTTTTATGTCATAATATTATAGATTAAGGTTATAAGTGGATGGTTTCTTGCATTTATCCATACGAGTGAAAACGAAGGCTTCTATTTCCTGGAACTTTATCATTCTTTTCAACATGGATGATGCATATTTTCCGACCCCAGTTTTTGGATAGTGTGAGGCGACACATAGCGACGAGGGCCCGCTTCACTGAGGCAAGAGGCGCGCACTGAAGCGCTTGCCTTTTTGATGTGAAGCAACAATTTATACAAAAGCATAAATGTGACGACCCGGCCCGTCGTCTCATGAGTTACCGCTCCGTTTTCCCCATTTTCAGCTTCCTTATGTTTCGTTATCCATATCTTGTGTAATCGAGTTGATTTGAAGTGATTTTAATAAGAAATAAGACATTTAGTCTCTTTTAAGAAGGCTTAAGTTGGAGAAATCAACCGGATGTTGACTTATGTGTTAGAGGGTTCAGATGTTAGTTCTGATGGTTCGGTTAGCTTCGGGAGGTAATTTGTGACTTAGGAGGGTGATCAAACGTGGTTTTTTAGGTACGGTGTAGAATTAGGCTTGAATTGGCGAAGTTAGTATTTTGGCGAATGGAATTCCGAGAGTTTCTGTAGTTTCGTTATGTCATTTTGAACTTGTCTGCAAAATTTGAGGTCATTCGGACGTGGTTTGGTTGAGTTTTTGATCAAAAATGGAATTTGGAAGTTCTTGAGATTCATAGGCTTGAATTCGATGTGATTTGATGTTTTTTGGTGTTAGTCGAGGTGTTTTGATGATTGGAACGAGATTGAATAATGTTTAGGATGCGTTAGTACTTTTGGTTGAGGTCCCGGGGACCTCGGGTATGTTTCGGGTGAGTTTTGAGCGAGTACGGACACCCCGGAACTTAGAAAAATGGAGGGAGCAGCAGTTGTGGCGCGGACCGCGCTCCTTTTCGCGCTGGGCGCGCTGACCAGCGCTGACCGCGTCAAAATGGCCGCGGCCGCGGTTACTGAAGACTACAGGTTGCTGGTTCTACTTCGGAAGCACATATATTTTGATCCACAAGGAATTTTGAAGTGATTCAAAAACGAAAGTTGTAGCCTTTCGTGTCTAGTTTCCAGAAAGGTAAAGATATCGCAATTTGGACACCTGTAGCGAAAGTTATGGCCAAAATACTGAAGTCTGTCACTGCAGTCAAAAAGCTGCGCGACCGCAGTCATTTTTGCGCGGACCCTGCTGATTTTGCGCGGACCGCGATCATTTGTATGCGGTCAGCGGTGTCGGAATCCGAAGGGTACTATATAAATACGAGGTTTTGAGTTTTATTTAATGTTTTGACCTAGAGAGCTCAGATTTTGGTGATTTTCCGAAGGGTTTTCAAGGAACTCATCGGGGTAAGTGATTTTAATTCAGATTTGGCTAGAATACATGAATCTATCACTGAATTCATCATTTAATTCGTGATTTGAGATAGAATTTGGGAAGAAAATTGTGAAACCTTTCAAAAGTGTAAAATGATGATTTGAAGGACCAAATGGTATCGGAATTGGATAATTTTGGTATGGTTAGACTCGTGAGGGCATGAGGATTCTAAAAATGTATTTACCCGATTCCAAGACGTGGGCCCGGAGCTCGGGTTTTGCTAATTTCGAGATTCTTGATATTTTTCGATTGTTTTCGATTGGGTATTGTC